GGGGCCTCGGAGCAGGATGCGGCCGAACTCTTCCTAGGGCAACACATCGACGTGCGCATCCCGACGCGCCAGCCAATGCACGAGGCGCCCACGGGCGGTGACCGCCCGATCACCCGGAACACGCACCCAGCGCACGAGTCGCCTACGAGGCGCACGCGAGCGGCGACGAGGCGGTGATTCGGGAAGCCCGCTCAGCGCTCGGCTTTCCTTCGCAGCGCCCCGTGGCGGCGTCAGGGCGACGACCGAGAAAACCCAGCCAGCGCACGAGGCGCCCACGAGGCGAGGCGCGCACGGCGCACGACGCACGAGCCGCCCACGGGCGGCGAGCGGGCGAACCTTTGGCAGACCATCGCCCGCGGTGCCGACGAGCCGCCCGCGGGCGGCGGCGGGGCGAAGGCGCACGCGAGAGCCCAAGGGCTCCCTCGAGGGCGCGAAGTTACTCGCGCTTCGCGCTTCGCGGTCCTCGTTCCTTCTCCCCCGCCTCCTCGTCCCCCTATTCTCCCTTTGGGGGGGCGGCGCGAGAGCGCGAAGTTGTTCGCGCTTCGCGCTTCGCGCGGCGCGAAGCGCGAAGTTGGGAGCCCTAGGAACCCCTGCGTGGGACATGCGTTAGGTTTCTGGTGGATGCTCAACTCCTGGGGGGATCCTTGGGAGGCCCCGTGCCCACTTGGAGCGGTCCTGTGGAGGTACTTGGGGCATCTTGGAGGCATGTTGGAAGTCACTCGAGCTATCCGGGAAGCCATAGTGGGCTATCTGAGGCAATTCGGGAGCAATGGAGCACCATTGGGACCCTCTGACCGCTGACGAATCCTTGGTCCCGACCCCAGGGGAGGAATTAGGGAGAGGGATAGCCCCCTCCCCGAAGGGACAAAACATCGTTGAAAGAGGAATCGATCTAGACCACCTACTCCCTAAAGGGCTGATGGGATTCAGTCAGGCTGGCTTCTGGGAGGCGTCAGGGGACCAGTGTTGGGTGAAAGCGGATAGGTCGACTCAGATTTCAGGCGTCGCGGCAAACCACAGTACCGTCTGAGTTTTGCCGAAAATTACACTGGGACTCTCGAGGCTCCCTCCCGGGCCCTTTACCAGCAAAATGCGGCCCGCGACCAAACGGTGGCCCTGAAGATGGGGTGGAGATCGTCGTGGGAAAACAACGTCGGAGGTCTAGGAGCAAGGGGCGACAGCGCGGACGGACCAGCTAAGAGGCGGTCGCCCGTCACGAAAATATTGCGGCCGCGCGCGGTGTCCTCGTCGTCTTCGTCGTCGTGGTCGCCGGTTGCCCCATCCCCTCTGCCCTCCCCCTCTTCCCTTCATCTGCCCCTCTTCCCCTTCTTGCCTTTTCTCGCATCCCCATCACTCCTCATCCTGCCCCTCTTCTCCCCGCGTCGTTCGAGGTCATCGTTTTTCCATCATGCTTCGCCCCCTCGCGGCAGTGGCGATCATCGCCTTCATCAAGCTATACACCGCCACAGCCCCATTTAGATTTTGAGGAGAGGGAGAGGGAGAGTCGATGATGATGATGATGATGATGATGATGATGATGATGATGAGGATGATGAGGATGATGAGGATGATGAGGATGATGAGGATGATGAGGATGATGAGGATGATGAGGATGATGAGGATGATGAGGATGAGGATGATGATGATGATGTGATGATGATGAGGATGATGATGATGAGGATGATGAGGATGATGAGGATGATGATGAGGATGATGATGATGATGATGAAGATGATGATGATGATGATGATGATGATGATGATGATGATGATGATGATGATGATGATGATGATGATGATGATGATGATGATGATGTGGAGAAGCAGATCGAGCAGTGGAGGTTGAGGAGGAGCAGGAGGAGGAGGTGGAGCCAGCGGGACGGTAAAGACGAATGATGATGCTGAGGAAGAGGAGGGCGAGAAGCAGTCGGGAGAAGAAAGGAAGGGAGAAGGCGAGTCGGGACAGGCTCTGGCAGAAGAGGTGGATGGAGCGGGGGATCGATGGAGGGACGACGGTTAACTACGATTGTCACCTTCCCATTGTGGCAGGTTCTGTCGAGAGACTGCCCCGCTGCGCCCCGCAGAAGTCGAGGCTGATCTGCGAAGCGCTGGTGTTCTGCACCGTGCGAGATAAGAGGAGGAGGAGGAGGAGAAGGAGGAGGAGGAGGAGGAGGAAGAGGAGGAGGAGAAGGAGGAGGAGGAGGAGACGGAGGTGGAGGGACGAGGTGAGGTTGGGCAGGGGAGGGCGGACGTGGGGGAGGGCCGCAGCGCTGCAGCACCTCCGCCAACTCCTCGTCAATCCTCGTTCTTCTCCTCCCCGCCCTCCTCGTTCTCCTCCTCGTCCGCGTCTGCTTCTTGCCATGCTCCCTTCCTCGAGGGTTGCGGGAGGCGCCCCTGGCTCCAGGTGCCCACAGCTTGTCGCTCCAGTTTCCAGTTGGGAGCCGCGGGGGGCCCTCTGGGCCTCGTGAGGGGTTCTCTGGAGGCCGCGGGGGCCTCCTTGGGGATCCTGGGGGTACCCGTGCCCAGGGGCACTTGTAGCAGCACCCGACTTTCCCCCCCCCCCCCCCCGCCCCTTGCCCCGTCCCCCTTGCCCCGCCCTCTTGCGCAACAGGCGCGCGTGCCGATCATTTTCACCTCCCCACGCGCCCTCGCGCGCTCCGCTGCCCCGCGGTCGTGGGTGGTCCCGGAGCAGTGCTGTGCCAGCATCCCGGCCGAATGCTGGGAGAGGCCGGCATGCATCGTATGCTGAGGATTCGCAGGGACCCGTCTTTGACGCGCCCGCGCCGTGGGCCCCGTGTGTGGGTTCCGTGCGTGGCGCTCTGCCTCCTCCTCCTCCTCCTCCTCCACCTCCTCCTCCTCCTCCCGCTCCTCCTCCTCCTTCTCCTCCTCCTCCTCCTCCTCCTCCTCCTCCTCCTCCTCGTCCTCCTCCCCCGCGCGGCCAGGCGTGTTTGTGGTGGCCATCTTTCAGCTGATCGTCTCGCTCCTCTGGTGTGTGGACAAATCTGGTTGGGAGGCCATCGTCGCGAGGGCTCCCTCGGGGCAGCGGTTGGAAGCGCGAGGAAATGACGACGGAGTTTGCAGCAAGAGGAAGGTGAGGAGCGTGGTGGAGGAGCAGCACGAGGCAGGAGCACGAGCAGGGTCAGGATGCCCAAGAGGATGAATTGGTAGTGCAGGCGGATGCGGAGGCGGGCGTGGGAGCGGGAAGGCGGAAGGCGAAGGTAGAGGAAGAGGGCATGGAGGAGTACGAGGGGCCAGCGGTTGACAGTAGGCGGAGAATGTGGAGGAGGAGTGGGAAGAGGAGGCCAAGTTCGAGGAGTTATAGCATCAGCCCAGGGCGGCTTCAACGTCTTAGCGCCGCCGCCGGAGGAGCAGGAGGAGGAGGAGGAGGAGGAGGAGGAGGAGGGGGAGGCGGAGGAGGATGGAACGGGAGGAAGAGGGGGAGGGGGAGGAGGATGATGGGCAACGTTTTTGGATGTTGCTTCTGCCTGCCAGCCTTCTCGGGCCCTTCAGGGCCTCCCTGGAGATGTCTGGAGACCTCCGAATCGGATCGCCACAAGGATTAAAGGGGTCGTGAGGGGAGCGTGTCCGGGACCCCATGGGGTTCACCCCAAGACCAGCTTCTAATCCCTAGCCTTTCCTTGAAAGTCTCGGGGCCTGTGGAGGGCCCGAACAAAAACAAAAACATCTTTTCCCCCACGGCCTGATTCCCTCAGATCCGGCGGAAGAGGAGGCTTGTTCCCCGTTTTGGTTTCGGGGGCCTCCATGATCTGTAGGCCTCCGCAGGAGAATGACAAAGAGAAGGAGGCTGAACCTCCGATCCTTCCCTCCTCCTGGGCCCCCCCCCCGCCCCCAATCCGTATCCTCGCTCCCTTCCCTTTGACTCTTCCCCTTCCCGTCTTCCCGCCCCCTCCCAGACCCTCCCCATTCCCCAGACTTGTTATCTTCGAAGCTCGTCGAGTCAGAGGTCGTAGCGGTTCTGTGTGTGTTTCGGTTCTTGCTTGTCTTGGGGCTGGTCTGTTTCTGCCTTTCTCTGAAACCGTGTTCTCGTCTGTCCCCGTTTTGGGGCCCGAGCGAGGTGCCCAGGCGCCTCTTCGTTGGCTGGGGCGTGACCCGCGATCGGCCGTCCGCACCGTCGGGACGGTCGGACCGAGGCAGAAGATCATGGCGCCGACATCGCAGAGCGGATCTCGTTCGGAAAGCACCTGGCATCGCTCGGATGTGTGTATGTTTTCTCGGCGGGGATTATTGAGGAGCATCCTGGATCATCCGGCAAAAAAAAAATCACGCACGAAACCGTTAAACAGCACAGGGAATGGACTTCCGAGCGACGGGGAGAGCAACGGAATGGGACCAGATTGTCCTGGGGAAATTCGCTTCGGATTTCGCAGTGAACGTTGTGCGGATTTGTTTGTGCCGGGGATGAAGATGAAAACAAACACGCGCAACATTCATTTCGATGTGCATGTGCTGCTTCGGGGTTTTGCATTGGCAGGAATCCACGCAACAATCTGCTGCAGTTCGTCTGCAAGGTCGGTGCAGTAATATAAGATCAAGGTCGGTTCGAGGAGGGCACCCTCGTGCTCTTCGTGCTTGTTGAGTGTTCTTGTGCATCCTGGGGGAAGGCACCCTCGAGTGCTTCAGTTTTGGCCAGCGGAGGGGTCTCATGTTCTTGAGGGATGTTCTTCGGTCCCAGGTTTAAGTTGGGCACGTCCCTCTACAGAAGGAGTGCCTAAAACATGTTCTGGGGACGATTTTCCGACTACGTTTAGGTATGTGTGTGAACTTCGTTGTTTATTTCCCAATGTTCGCCCCAAATCCGCATGTATCAAGGGAGGAAAAACAACCTGGACCGGACACTTGGCGTTTGCTAAACGGCCTTGGGCGTTTACTGAACAGCCTTGCCCTGTTTGATCCCGTCTTCGGGTGCGTTTACCAAACGGCGCCGCGTGCCGGGGTGGTTCCCATAGGGGTGGACTGTCTGCCCTCCTCATGTGGGAGGACATGCCCGACCTGGCCCTGGGTCCGACTGCATGCCCACCCGACGTGCCCGCTGCGCGCGCTGCCCGCCGCGCCCAGTACACCTTCCGCCACATGATGGGCGGCTACGCGCTCGCGAGCAGGGCCCCCGCCCGCCCCCCTCCCTCCAGGAGGGAGCAACAAAAAGCACAGACACAATGAGTCGTCGATTCCCAGGAAGCGAGGCGAACGTCTGGGAAGTGTGGGGAGGGGGGGGGGGGAAGACGAGAGATTCCAACAAAAACATGGCACAAGATGGGGAATCCCGGGATCTGCGCGTATTTTTTGTTGCGTGCCCCTGGGCCTCCTTCATCCCTGCCCGGCGCGCTGCCCCGCGCGCCCCGGCGCCGGGCACCTCTGCCCTGCCGACGGCGGCCACGGTCTGCGGCGCCAGTGGCGATCGCTCCACGAGGCCTCGGGAGCCTCGAGACGGGGGTCCACGCAAACGGGGGTCAGCCAGGGCACCAGATCCTGCAGGATCCTGCGAAGACCCCCTCTGGCTGACCCGGGTTAGGGAGCCGCTCGTGGCCGCGAGGCGGCCGCACATATTGGCTGACCCGGGTTTGCGAAGACCTGCGTTGCAGTTTTTTTTTCCTGCATTGCAGTTTTTGGTTTCCTGCTGACCCGGGTCTGGATTGACCCGGGTCAGAAGATCCCCGAAGGCCGCGTGCTGGGCTCGATCCGATTCGACTCGATCCGATTTCGACGGGTTCCGATCCCGATGCGATTCGACTCGGGAGTCCGATCTGGGCTCCGCTTTCTCAGCGGAGGCCTACCAGCCGCCGATTTCCACCGATTCGACTGCTCCCGACTCGGTTGGCGATTTCCGCCGATCCGATTCATTGCCATCGCCGATCCGACCTATCGATTCGATTATGGGCTTTTCTGCGCTTGCTGCTGCACACCGCACCCACCCGTGTTGCTGTTGCTGGATGCTCGTGGTGGAAAATCGGACCAATTCGCAAAAGGTAGGGTGGCGCCAACTTACCACCTAGGCCCCATCCTGGTCTCAGGACGAGGACCCCCCCCGCCCTCTCTCTGGGGGGCAGGACTCACGGCGGCGAGTGATTTATGATTCCTACCTCCTCACTATGGTGACCTCAATGCGGCGGCGGCTTCTGCGCTGGCGACAGCGTCGACTTCTGCTGTGGCGGCTGCGCTCAGTCTTGCTGCCATCTAGGACTAGGTCGCTGTGCAGACCTCCGGCGATCCTTGGCCGCTCAAGGATTTGTTGTTGGTGCCCCAAGGGTTTCCTGTCGCCGTACGAAAAATATTTGACTCAGACAACCACCACGTTGGTCCGATTATGTATCGGCTTTGGTCGGCTCGGTCTGATTCGATTTCGATATTTTTGCGACCCGATGAGGCCCGACGCTTGCATCGCTCTGCTGTGCCTCTTGGCGCGGCCGATCCGATCGAGATCCAGCTCCGTGCCGATGGCACCCGATCTGACGCGCTGTCCGACCCGATTCGATTTCCCGTTGTGCTACTGGTTGTTCTTTCGTCGGGCGGCGGCCCACCCGACGACGGCGACGGTCACGGCGGCAGCGGCGACGATCACGCCACGAACTTGGTCACGGCACAGACCGAACACCACGACGGCAGCGACCACGAGATTCGGAAACTGGAACGTATACATTACCAGCGGCGGGCTGTTTTTCGATCCCCGGATTTTTTGAGGGTCGGGGACGACGTCAGGGTGGTGTGGTGTATACTTGTTTCCCCGTTTTCACGTGGAACCGACAGACAAAGTATACACCAGGATGCCGTATACACCAGAATCCGTTCTTTTGTGCGAATATCACTGCGGAGCTGGAAAAAGCATCGGTGTATAAAGTTCGGTTCCTTAGAGTTGGTTGTGGATGGACCCTGTTGCTCGAGGTGGGGACTCTGCGGAGCATGCGGCCTTCGACGAGGATTAGGGTATGTGGTTCTTTCCTCTTGCCCTTCTCTTCACAATACTACTCGCCATCGTTGTCAAACGCCTTCCGCATGCGGATCTCTGCCGGTTATCGGGTATCCCGGGGGTAATGCAGGATGGGTTTAAAGACATTATTGGGGGTCGTGTTCACGCGGCGTTGCCCAGGATGGTGATTAGAAATACCGCCCGCGGGCCAGGATCTGTTTTTTGATCGTTCCTTTCGCCCTCCTCGGGCGTGCGCCCAGACGGCCGACGGGCCAGACGGAGCCGAAACGCACGGTTAGGAGGAGGAGGGGGGTGAAGGAGAAAGGAGGAGAGTCAATGTCAGCGGGATGGAAATTCAACGACGGACGGATCGGATCTGTAGTTGCCATGCGTTGTAATAGGAGAGATGGGCGATGCGGAGGGGCTGCTGGAGATGGACTATGTGCTGTGACCGAAAATTGCATAGTACTTGAGCGGTAGTTGTAACATTACGAAGTGTGGTTGGGTTGTACGAGGGTCTGTCGTGCAGTATGTAGTCGGAGCTTGACATTCCAGAGTGGATTGCAGCAGGTACTGTAGTGACAAGAGCAACGTGGGAGCTGTTCCAGGTTCTGTATTGAAGCTGGCTGAGATTTGCAATAGGAGCCGTAGTAGGACTTTTGGTAGTATGCATCGCACTAGGAGCTGAGTATGAAAAGTCTTATCAGGAGTTGGATCAGGGAATGAATCGGAACCATCATAGGATACCACTAGGCGTCCAATCGGATTCCAAGTTGATTGCAAGAGATCCACTCTAATTGCACGGTTCCCAAAGGATTCCTTCAATGGTATCAAAATACAAAGCCAACGTGTTTTGAATGTGATTGTGTTTTACGCTTCGCCTGCCCCCACCAGCCAAATGAGAAACCTTGCCCATGATAGTTGGCGAGCGAAGGGGCGCCGAGACACATGTAGTTCAGGAGGGACAAACACACAGGCACAATGAACCGTCGATCCCCAGGAAACTATTAAACGATATGTCAAGTGGGGTGAAGACGAAAACTTAGAACATATGGGAAACTATTGGGAGTCCTGTTATTTGTGTCTATGTATTCGTGTGTCCCAGGGCCCCTTCAGTAGTGAGACAGACCAGGCATGCAGGTTTAACGGAGAGATCTCTGGGAGCAATGGGATTGCTTTGGAGGGCCTCTTCGAGCACCCCGTTGGGCCATCTTGGAGGCCATCGATCAAATGAGTTGGGTGTCCCACATGCGTCGCCCCCCTGGGGCCATGACAACCGCCTCGTGGGGCCATCTTGGGTCGCTCTTGGGGCCCGTTTGGGGGCATCGTGGGCCCTTGATGGGCCTATTCTGGACCAGCTTGACGCTTCAAAAGCGCATCTGGAGCGAAAAGGCCGAAAGACACCAACCACTGATGTTTCTCAGGTTGCTGAAAGAGGTTGGCCTCTAAATGGGGAGATGAGGGGGGTCCGAAAGCACTCGGATCCGCCGTGTGGCCCTCGTCGGGCCTCTTGGAGGCATGTCGGGAGCGGTCTTGGACCAGCATCGGCTATCTTGAGCCGCCTTGGAGGCCTTCGTGGAGCATCTGAGGCCCTCTTGTGCCATCTTGGGCGCCATACCACTTCGTGGCCCGCCCCCCCAACATACTCAGAGAGGGGAGGGGGGAGGATACCCCCCCGAAGGGACAAGGTTTTTTGTTGGAAGAGGAAGGGCAAACCTCGTGAGACCACATGATCCAACAGGGCTGGTTGGGTATGTTGTTATGTAACATGTTCCAGCCACCTATACACACATATGTGTATACATATATATATATATACAGCTCCCCTAAATTTGCCAAGAAGAGCCGGACAACTACGTTTTGAATCGTTCCCACCAGTGGAGAGTTCGCGGCTGGATCTCACCATGGATCGCAAGTGTTCTTGTCCTGTCTTCTGTCGCCCAGCCGCCTGGCGGTAGCTGGCGCCGATGTGCTGGTCCGCAGAGCTGCGCGCCCCGCGGTGTCCCGAACGTCCCAGTTGACCCGTGGCAGTCCGAGTCAAGTCTATGCTCCTCCTAGGTCAGGGGATCCAGCGCCGATCCAAGACATCCGTTCGGGTCTTGGCGATCATTTGTGCTCAGGTCGTTGTTTACCATTCCAGCGGGGAAGCTGGGGGAAAGTGGCTGGGGATAGCCCTTTTTCCACTCTTCCTCGCTGGGGCCAGTTTCCCTGTCGACCTTTTTAGCAAGTCGATTGAATTCGTTTCAGCCCACGCCCGATTTTACAGCTCGTGCCACTCCCTGTCTCATGGAACTTTCAACTACTGCTTCTTCGGCGTCCCGCCACGGGTCAGACAGGCCCGGGGTGAGGGCAAATCCCTCCAGATCGATCCAGAGCGCTCTCAGCGCGTTCGGGTGCGACCTGAACCAGGGCGCGGCGCCTTCTCAGGGATTCCTGATTCATCCCCGGCCCGGTGTGTCCTCATCCCGCAGGGGAGGATGTAGGGTGGCCGAGAGATGGAGGAGAAAGGGAGGCGCCCTCCCCCTCCCTCCTCTTCCTCTCCTCCTCCTCCTTCTCCTCCTCCTCCCTCCTCCTCCTCCTCCTCCTCCTCCTCCTCCTCCTCCTCCTCCTCCTCCTCCTCCTCCTCCTCCTCCTCCTCCCCCCATCCTCCTCCTCCCCCCATCCTCCTCCTCCTCTTCCTCCTCCTCCTCCTCCTCCTCCTCCTCCTCCTGTCGTTCTTCATCCATTTGCTTGAATTTCCTCCAGGGAGGGAAAGCCACCCCGACCCCGATGACTGACGTTTACTAAAGAGCCCTGCTCTGATCGATCCCTTCCCTGGGTGCCCTAACTGGAAGGCTTCGCTTATCGGGGTGCTTCTTATGAGGATCGATGCTCTACATTCTAATTTTCTTCACCAGAGAGTCGTCTTACCACGCAGGGGTCCCCGGGTCTGTTGGGAGATGGCCACTCGCTATATTTGAAAGAGCGTGTTCTACCGCTGCTGGCGGAAAACCGAGGGGGGTCACTACCGGTTCGAACCCCTCCCCCCCCCCCCTCCGGAAAACTGGGGGGGGTCACTACCGGTTCGAACCCCCCCCCCCCCCCCCAGTTCATCATGAAAAGGGGGGGGGGTCACTACCGGTTCGAACCCCCCCCCCCTCCTCGAAAACCGAGTGGGGGTGCGGACAGTGGTGGGGACGGTGTTGGTGGGGACAGTGGTGAGGGGACAGCGGGACAGTGGTGGGGACAGTGGGACAGTGGGACAGTAGAGGGCCGGTAGTGGTGGGGACAGTGGTGGGGACAATGGTGGGAACAGGGGGGACAGTGGACAGTGGTGGACGGTGGTGGTGGGGACAGTGGTGTGGGCACAGTGGGAATGAGGTGGAAACAGTGGGACAGTGGAGGGTACAATGGTGGTGGGGACAGTGGTGAAGGCGGTGGCGAGGACGGCGGTGGGACAATGGGACAGAGGTACAGTGGGGACAGTGGTGGGGACAGTGGGGACAGTGGTGGGAACAGTGGGACAGCTCAGTGGGACAGCGGAGGAGTCAGTGGGACAGTGGGGACAGTGGGGATAGTCGGGCAGTGGTTGGGGCCGTGGAGACAGTGGGGAGAGTGGAACCGTGGTGGGAACAGTGGTGGGGACAGTGGGGACAGTGCGACAGTGGTGGGGGCACTGGTGGGGACACAGTGGGGACAGTGGTGGTGAGGACAGTGGTGCTGGGAACAACAGTGGGGGATGTGATGCGGACGGTGGTAGGGACCGGGAGTCGTTTGCTGGCGGTGAGTGGGGGGGTGGGGAGGGGTTCGAACCGGTAGTGATCCCCCTCCGGTTTTCGAGGGGGGGGGGGGGGGGGTTCGAACCGGTAGTGACCCCCCCCGGTTTTCCGGATCCGGAGGGGGGGGGGGGGGGGTTCGAACCGGTAGTGACCCCCCCCGGTTTTCGAGGGGGAGGGGGGGAGGGGTTAGGGGAGGGGGGGTTTGCCGGGGGAGGAGGGGGGGGGGTCCAGCAGGGGGGGGGGGATTTTCGGAGGGGGGGGGGGGGGCGACCCCCGGGTTCGCGGTGGATCACGCTCTCTCCTATATTTAGACACGTTTTACTTCTCATAGAGTCTGAGAGCCCTCCTGCTCCAGTACGGCATGCACCCGCGACGCCACGGCCTACGTCGAGCGTAAGGCGGTCGATCAAACCCAGAACGCCAAATATTATGGAGCGCGCATCAGCGCGAAGGGCCGAGGCGACGCTCGAGCAGGGGGGGACGCATCGACCCCCAATCGCCCATGCATCGCCGATGGGGGCCCTGCAACGCGCCCCGCTCAGGACCATGCGGATTCGTGATCGCGGACCCATCGCCGATCTATCAGCGATGCATTGCGGATTCCAGGCCGATATTTCCTCCCCCCTGAGTTGGCCCCCCTTCTGCGCACTTATGACGCAGCCTCTCCGAGGGGCGTGTGATCGCGCGGCTGTTGGCAGTGCTCGTTTTTTTCCCGCTCGTCCGCCCCTACTCGTCGGCACCAGTTTCGGAGCTGGGCTCCCGAGGCGTGAGGCGCCTGGGGCGGAAGTGCAAATACAGCCCGGAACCCGTTTTCTATCCACGGGGCCCCAGCCTTCAGGATTCTTTCCGTAGCCTATCTCCTCAGGGTCCCGGCGTCCCAAAGAATCCTGGGCATTCTTGGGAACGGCCTATTGCAGGTGTTCGCCTATTGCAGGTCTACTTGTGCGGTGTACCCGGTTTGCCTGGCGAGCTTTCGATGCGCGAGGTTGCAGCGTCATCCGCGGTGCTTCGCATGGGAAGCACTCTTAGCGACTCTCTCTTTCCTCCTCGCAGCAGCGAACGCACCACAACTGTGACCAGGCATGAGGTGAGACATCTCATGCAAACGGCAATTGGCGGAGAGGCAAGGCCAGCCGCTAAGCAGGTCCAGAGGAGGATGAGGAGCCGGATGTCCAGGCCACCCTCCCGCCCTCCGCCCCCGAGCGCGCGGCGCTCCCCCAGCTCGTGGTCGGCGTGATCGAGGCCACCGGCATCATCACGGACGGGCCAGGGGGAGAGCGGGAGCTGGCTTCGGCCTCGGAGCGGCGCTGGACCGCTCAGCGGGTGGAGCGCCCAGAGTTCCGGCAAGGAGACGGAATGGAATTGATATTGTTTTTTTTGCCTCGCTTTCCCTTCTTTTGGGCCTCGCTGGAGACCCTCGTCGCCACCCACGGCTGGATTCTCTGGAGAGTTCTAGTCAGAACACACCCCGGCAGAGGTTTGGGAGTAGCGGTATCGGCACCCATTGGTTCCCTTGGTGGCGCGCGTTCCTCGCCGAAATTCTGCCCCGAGCCGGTCCGAAGGCCTCCCCCCATGGACGACGAAAGCGCTGGAAAAACCTCTGGCGCAATGATGGTCCTCGAGTGGATGGGAGAGCAAGTTTCATGAGTGAAAGCACAGACACAACCAATCGTTGACTCCCAGGAACATATGGGAACATATGGGAAGTGGGGGAAGCACGACAACCCAGAATGGGGGATCCTGGGATGTGTGTCTGTTGATGTGTATGTCCTTTGGCCCCTTTAAAAAGTTGCACCGGATCGAACTTTCGGGCGGTGGTCCGCCCCGCCCGGAGCCCGTCCGTCCGCCTCTTGTCCCGTGCCGTCTGAGTCATCATGAGAAAATCTAGGCCTAGGAGGAGGAGGAGGAGGAGGAGGAGGAGGAGGAGGAGAAGAAGGCCTAGATGGGGTCGGAGTGGATGGGGTCGGAGGATCGCGCCGCATCGCCGATGCGTCGCCGATGCGGCTCGATGTGGGGCCCGATCTGCTTCACGTCGACGTCACCGATGCATCGCCGGCGTCGACGACGCCTCGCCAGTGTATCGCCGATGCATCGTCGATGTATTGGCGATGCGTCGCGATCTCCCGACCCCATCTACTCCGACCCCACCTAGGAGGCCTCTAGAAAAGCACTAATCAGAAGAACAACTGCGTGAACATCAATTTTTTCGGATGAGGCGAAGGACAGGGGGAGGAGCGTAGGGGAGGGAATGGGGGGTGGAGGGGAAGCGGCAGGGGGATGATGGGGTGGGTCAGAGCAGCGAGGTGGGGAACTCAGGATACAGGAAGGACATGATTGAGCGGGCAAGGACATGGAGCGATGAGACAGGAGACGGTTGGATGAGGGATGAGAGTGGGAGGCGAATCTAGAAAATCACGCAACACATACGCATGAATTGTCGGAGGTCCGCTCGGCTTTGCCGGGTTGGCGCTGGACCTCCGTCCTTGGCGAGCAGAGCGCGCCAGGCAAGGCACCGATCCAAGAAATCCCTTCGCAACTGAAACATGTTGTGGCGATTTTGTTATATATCAGAGCCCTTGTGGTTTTTAAGAATCAGTAGAAAGAGAGAGAGAGAGAGAGAAACAGAAATAAAGAACAAACAAAAACCAACGGACACAAGTAAAGGCGGATTCCCCGGGGGAACAGATGGAATTGGGGGGAAGACGAGGCTGCGGAACGCATGGAGAAGTATTGGGAGTCTTGTGATAATTTGTGCGTGTCCTGTTCAGAAGCCTCCACTCAGGAGCCCTCTCAGAAGCCTGCTCTCAGAAGCCTGCTCTCAGAAGCCTCCTCTCAGAAGCCTCCTCTCAGAAGACTCCTCGCAGAAGCCTCCTCTCAGAATCCTCCTCTCGGAAGCCTCCTCCCGGATGCCTCTCAGAGCCGTGTCGGAAGCCCTCGCAGAAGCCTCCTCTCGGAAGCCTCCTCCCGGAGAGGCCTCTCAGAGCCCTTCAGAAGCCCTCGCAAGAAGCCCCGCAGAGGCCGCGCAGAAGCCTCGCAGCACCGCTGCGTGCAAAGGCGCGCCTGGCGCGCCTCGTCGGAAGCCCTCCGCCCCCTCTTGGGTGGGAGGCCGCCCCGCCCGCGCCCCCCCTCGGTGCTCAAGCAGCCAACCTGTAGGGTTTAGGGTTTAGGGCTTAGGGCTTAGGGCTTAGGGCTTAGGTCTTAGGGTTTAGGGTTCAGGGTTAGTAAGCACGCGGAGGGCGTTGGTGCTCAGCCTGGAGGCCCCGGGCAGGGCTCGTTCCGATTCCTCCGTTTCGGTTCGATTCGAGTTCGATGGTTTCCGATTCTGATGCGATTCGGATGGTTTTCGGTGGCTTTCGATGGCTTTCGACGTCCTCCAGCTCGCCCGTCGTCTCCCCTCTCGCTCTCCCTCGTGCCCATTTCCCTCTGCGGGCCGCGGCGTTCGTTCTCCAGGACCGTGCCCCCCTGGCTCCCCTCGCCGCAGCACGGCACGGCCATCGCTGTTTCTCCCTGGCTGATCCAGTTTCCATGCGTGCTCACGTTCTGAGGTGGTGGATCTCAGAAACAAAAACGCCATAAACTTAAACTGTTGGCGCTCCGTGCGGATTTCTCGGATCCGCGCTGGCCCGCCCCGCGCGCCAGCGCGGAGCGCCGAAAGTTTATGTTTTGTTTTATTAAGTTGTTCTTCTCTTCTCCTAGATTTATCCCCGCCTCGTCCACACGTAAAGGAGATGGCGAGTGGAGCAGCCCACCTCTGCATCAGAACCACCCGGCGCCAGAGTGCGCACTCGAGGCCACGCGGCTGTCCTCTAAGCAGAGCAGCAGCGAGGCAGATCTTTTGCATCGGTGCTGGAGCCTCCTGGCGGCGCCCTGGGCGGCGCCTCGCCTGGCGCGCTCCGCTTTCCCCAGGGACGGAGGCCCGGCGCCGAGGCGGCAAAGCCGAGCGGACCTCCGGCTCTGTGTCGTCGCCCGCTCGGCCACGTCGTCTTCCTGTACAGCCTCGGCTTCCCGCCTCGCGCCATCACCGTCGTATACATTCCCTCGCTCCCCCTGCCGCTCCTCCTCCTCCTCCTACTCCTCCTCCTCCTCCTCCCAGTCCCTCTTCTACGCTCCTCCTCCCCCTTTCCTTCGCCGTCTCGTCCACTTCTCCCCGGTCCCTCCCCCCTGCCGTTCCTCCTGCTCCTCCTGCCGTTCCTCCTCCTCCCTTACCCTCCTCCCCCTTCCTTCGCCTCCTCGTCCACCTCTCCCCCTTCTGGCTCCACCCCACGTCGTCACTCTTACTTTCTCCCCGGCGCCCTCGTCCTCCCTTCTCCGCCACACCGACCCCGATCCTGGGGCATCCTTCCCCCGCGCCGTCGCGAGTGGACCGGGGGAGCACTCGTGAGGGCAAGGTCCATTTCACGTTTCGATCCGATCGATCCGATTCAAGATCGAATCCGGCCGACTCGGCCCGAGTCGATTCCGAGTCGATGCGGCCCGACTTGTGCACGGCGTCGTTGTGGATCCTGGCGCAGCCGATCCGATACGAGTTCGACTCCGTGCTTTTACGCAGCCCGATCCGGCGCGCAGCCCGATTTGGTCCGAGCTCCCGATCCGCAGGGGGTTCGGGAGGACACTTGGGTCGTCTGCGCCGACATTAGCGCAAAAGCTGCCCGCGCAAGGTCGCGCGTGAGCGCCCTCGTCTCCAAAGCAGCGTGCCGCGCTGGCGGCCCGCGTAAGCTGCGGCGTAAGGTCACTACGTCATCTCGCGTAAGACCCATATTTGATTGATCGTTGGCTTACGCGGCACCGCCGACCCCTTTGGGGAGAGTCGTTGTTGCGGCTTCTGGGTGCTGCGTGACTTATTGTTGTAGTTATGTCGAAGACGCCTACGGCGAATCACCGCCGCCCCCTGCCTTTTGGGAAGCGCTTGCGTGGCCGAAAGCTGGGTTTGAGCTTGGCCAAGCTATCGGGCCACGCGTTCCCCGAGTGGGTTACGAAAGCCTTCGGGGAACACGGAGTCGGGCGAGCTATCGGACCAGGTGGCTTCCGAGCTTTCGAGCCTTCCTGGAGGACGTCTTGGAGGTCTCTTGGGCCGTCGTGGAGGCCTCTTGCGGGCCTTTTGGGCAGTCGAAGGCCATCTTCAGGCCATCTGGGGCCATCTTGGGTGCATCTTGGGGCCATCTTCGCTGTCTTGGAGGCCTCCGGTCGTCTTGGGCCGTCGGAGAGCTGATAAGAAGAACGTACCTTCAAAACATAAGGACAATCAATGATTGTTGCCCGTTGGAACCTTCCAGGAGGACGTCTTGGAGGCCTCTTGGGGGCCTCTTGGCAAGTCTTAGGACATCTTGGAGCCATCTTGAGCCGTCTTGGAGGCTTCTTGGACGAACTTGCAGGCATCTTGGACTCTCTCGGGCCGTCTTGGAAGCCATCTTGGACCATCCTTGGCGACTTGGAGGCCATCATGGAGGCCATCTTGGGGCAACGTGAGCATCTTCTAGGGGTCTTGTGCCGTCTTGGAGAATTTGTTGTGGACGTTGGGGTGGTTTATGCTGCCTTGTGCGGCCTTTCGTGTGGCCGGCGGGACGGGCCGAAGCCCCAGTGGGAGTTCTTGTGGGACAAGAACCAAAACTAAAAGCGAAAGGATCCAGCACGCCAGGCACCTCTGTGGCAAGCCAACAGGGGGCGGCGGAATTCTTCTTAAAGAAGCAACGCTGAAAGGATTCAGCACGCCGGGCACCCTCGTGATGAATCAACAGGGGACGGCGGACCTCAAAAACAAGAGAAACGAAGTATGAGTTGGGCCCTTTCGGGCCTTCCTGTAGGACGTCTTGGAGAACTCTTGGGCCGTCTTGGAGCCTCCCGTCTTAGGCCATCTTCAGGCCGTCTTGGGTGCATCTTCGGGCCATCTTAGCCGTCTTGACGGCCGTCTTTGGCGTCTTGGAGGCATCGTGGAGGCCATCTTGGCCGTCTTGGAGGCTATCTTGGCCGTCTTGGGAGCCTCCTGGGCCGTCTTGGGGCCTTCTTGGGGCCCTCTTGGGGGCCTCTTGGGCGCTCATGGGGCCATTTGGGAGGCCTCTTGGACGCTCATGGGTCGATGTTGTGGGCCGCTTGGGCCGTCTTGGGCCGTCGAAGAGCAGAAGCCAGAATCCTTCAAAAACATACGGAAAACCTATGATTTAAACCCTGTCGGGCCTTCCTGGAGGACGTCTTGGAGTGCTCTTGGGCCGTCTTGGAGGCCTCTTGCGGGCCTTTTAGGCAGTCTCAGGCCATCTTGAGGCCATTTTGGATGCATTTTGGGGCCATCTTGGCCGTCTTGGAAGCATCTTGGAGGCCATCTAGGCAGTCTTGGAGGTCATCTGGGGCTTTTGGGGGGCCTCTTGGGCCTTCTTGGGAACTTCTTTTGGGTTGTCTTGGGGCCGTCTTGTAGGCTTCTTGGGCACTCTTGGGGCGCTCTTGGGCAGTCTTGGGCCGTCGGAAGGCCGAAATGAAGCAGAAGCCCAAATCTTTCAAAAACCAATGGAACATAAATGATTTTGACCTCTCCGGGCCGTCCTTGAAGACCCTGGAGTACCTCTTCGAGGCCTCGTGGGCCGTCTTGGAGGCCTCTTAGAGGGCTCTGGGGCCGTCTTGGGTTGTCTCAGGTGTTTCTTGTGCGAACTTGGAGGCATCCTTGGCCGTCTTCGAGGCCATCTTGGACCATCTTGGGCGTACTTGGAGGTCATCTTGGCCATCTTGGAGCCGTCTGAAGCCGAAAAACCTTTTGCAACCACCTTTTATGCATGCTTCCGGGTTGCCGGCGTGACGGGCCGAAGCCCCAGGGGGAGTTTTTTTGGTTTGGGGGAAAAAGAACCAAAACCAAAGGCGAAAGGATTCAGTTCGCCGGGCACCCCTCTGATGAATCAACAGGGAAGGCGGATCGAAGAAGCCTGCGGAGACTCACCGCCGCCCCCTGCCTTTTTGGAAGCGCCTGCGTGGCCGAAAGTTGGGTTTGAGCTTGGCCAAGCTATCGGGCCACGCGTTCCCCGAGTGGGTTTCGAACGCCTTCGGGGAACACAGAGTCGGGCGAGCTATCGGACCAGGTGGTGTCCGAGCTTTCGTGCCTCCTGGAGGACGTCTTGGAGGTCTCTTGGGCCGTCTTGGGCAGTAGAAGGCCATCTTCAGGCCATCTGGGGTCGTATTGGGTGCATCTTGGGGCCATCTCCGCTGTCTTGGAGGCCTTCTTGGCCGTCTTGGAGGCTTCTTGGAGGCCATTTTGGTTGTTTTGGAGGCCATCTTGGGTGTCTTGGGGGGGGGCGTCTTGGGCCGTCTTGGGGCCTTTTTGGTGCCCTCTTAGGGGCCTCTTGGGTTGTCATGGGGCCGTCTTGGAGGTCTCTTGGCGCTCTTGGGTCGATGTTTGGGGCCGCTTGGGCCGTCCTGGGCCGTCGGAGAGCTGGAAAGAAGAACATGCCACAGACCTTTAAAAACATAAGGACAATCAATGATTGTGGCCCTTTCGGGCCTTCTGTTAGGTATCTTATCATGGGAACCTTATCTCATCCAGTTGGCGTAGCTTTTTGCAGTGTTAGTGTCGTGTTAGTGTCGGGTCAGTGTCGGGTTAGTGTCTTCGTGCGCTCCCTATGCGTCTTATTATTTCCCTACCTCCTCCGTCTCCTAGCTTCCTTCTCGCCCTCCTCCTCTTCCGCCCTCCTCTTTCGTCGCTTCCCCGCGGCGGACAGCAGGCGCCCTAGTGTGTCATCGCGCCGAGGGCGCGACGGCGGATTTCGATCTTATTGCCCAGGCCAGTTTCCTTTTGCGCCTTTTTCGCCTTGGTCATCAGTTTTACCTGCTAATCCTTGCCCCTGCTGTGTTGCTCCCCCTCCTCCGTGCGACTATCTAGGCATTTGTTGCACTGTCTGATTGTATGTCCCTAGGTTTCTTCGCCGCGCTTCAACAGCCTCGGTCGCTTCCGTTTCTGTCGCGCTGCGCGAGCCCTAGGTCCGAAACGCAACCTGCTCAATACAGAACGCGTGGTTCCCCCCCAAAAAGGAGGAAGAGGAATACGAGGAAGAGGAGGGGATGGGGACGCGGAGGATGACGAGGGCGACGGCGCCCGCTGGAAGAGGGGAGAGGGCGGCGATGATGAGGAGGGGGGAGGATGAGGTGGAGGAGGGAGAAGAGAAGGGGAGGGAGGAGGAACATGAGGAAAAGGAAAAGGGAGGAGCTGGAGGAGGAGGAGGAGGAGGAAACCCCAGCGCGCGAGCGAGCGCGCCCGCGCGCCCGCGCCCGCGCTCGCGCGGGGAGGTGGCGACGACGGTTTCGGAAGCGGCAACGACGAGGCGGCGGCGATGACGACGGCGTCCCGGAGCTCTCGATCCCTCCACTCGTTTGTGCTTTTGTTTTTCCCTCCGTGGCCCCAGAGACCGAAAGGGCCTCCCGAGGTCCCCGCCGCCGCCGCGCCGTTGTCGTCGGGCTGCTGCCGTCGAGGACGACGGCGACGGGACTTTCGATTCCTTTCCCAATTTGTTTTTCAAGTTTTCTCCGCGGTTCCAGGGCCCGAAAACGACCCCCCTAGGCCCCCGCCGCCGCCGCGCCGTCGTCGTCTTCGGGCTGCTGCCGCCCGCGGCCCCCCGTGGCCGCCGTGACCCGCGTCGGGCCCCGAAGGTGGGGGCTCAGCAAAAACGAAATGCGCAACGTCTCTCGGGGGCTTTCCGAAATTTGGGGGCGGAGGGCCCAGGGGGCGCCCGAAGGGGCCCCAGGGGGTCCGAAGGGGCGCCGAGTGGCCCGAAGGGGCCGCAATTGAGGGGCCCGCGGGTCTCCCCAAGAGCAGGTGCAGCCGCTGGACTGTTGGAGGGGTGGTTCCCACGGGAACCCGGGCACCCCGGCGGCGGCCCCCTGCCCTCGCGAGGGGGGGCCGCCAAAGGTGCCCGCCCTCCCGCGGTCCGCTGCGCGGCCGCCTCCCGCGTCGTCCTCACCATCATCATCGTCGTCGTCATCTGAAGCCAAGCAAGGGTCATGGGCTTCATCGTGCCGCCAGGGCGGCAGCGGGGTCGCATGGCCCCGCCATCGCCGTTGCGCCGTTACGCCGTTACGCCGTCGTCGTCGTCGCCGTCTTCGTCGTCGTCGTCGTCGTCGCCGTCGTCGTCGTCGTCGTCGTCGTCGTCGGCGTCGTCCTGGGGCTGCCAAATGTGCAACTGTCGCTAGTCTTTGCCTCAGGGCGATCGCGACGACGCCGACGGCGACGACGACGACGCCGACGGCGACGACGACGACGACGACGAAGACGGCGACGACGACGACGACGACGACGACGCCGGCGGCGGCGGCGGTGACGACGGCGACGACGACGACGACGACGACGACGACGACGACGACGACGACGACGACGACGACGACTACGACTACGACGGTCGTCGTCGTCGTCGTCGTCGTCGTCGTCGTCGTCGTCGTCGTCGTCGTCGCCTGGGAATTCTCACGGGGCAACTTCGGGGTCATCTCGATGCGTCTTGTGGCAATTGTTTGAGGTCATCCTGAGTTCGCGGCGGAGTCGCGGGAGTGTGACGAGGCCTCCAAAACAGCCCAAGAGAGCACTAAGACAACCCAAGAAAACCCAAGAGAACCCCAAGAAGGGCCTGAGAGGGGGACCACGAACTGAGTATTCGAGTCTTCCGCCTGGAGAGGCCCCCAGGAGGCCTCAAGAGGCCTCCAAGAAGCCCCAAGAGGCACCCAATAGGCCCGAATGAGGTCCCCAGACGGCCCCCAGGATGCCTGAGAACTGCCTCCAACAAGTCCCCGAGAGGCGCCCCACGATATCACAAACGATCGTCATCGTCACCATCAGCATCATCCACATCATCATTACCATCGTCATCGCCGTCATCAGCGCCATCAACGCCATCATCATCATCATCATCATCATCATACCAAGTTTCATCATCATCATCATCATCATCATCATCATCATCATCATCATCATCATCACCATGATCGCCATCATCATGACCATCATCATGGTCGTATCATCCCTACCGCCATTTCGGTTCGCGTAGTTGCATCAGGCGGCCCAGCTGCCGCCCTATCCGATATGTTGTCTGCAGCCCAAACCACTGGGCGGAATGCCGGAGTTCTGCGGGCGCTCATTTTGCAGGGCCCTGAAGGGGCGCAGCGGTGCCCCGAGACGCTGGCGGCTTTGGAGCTTCTGGAGAATGCTTTGGCATCTGAGTTCGACGTTACTGTTCGGGGCCCGCCCAGGCCCAGGATCCCAGAACAAGATTTGCGACAACGCGTTACCTGGCTGCAAAAGTCGCGGGCCAGGTACATCAAGCGGTTGAAGGCTGGCCTTGCTGAGCAGACGAGCGGACGCATCCACAAATTGTGGATCGCGCGCGTTGCACTTACGGACCCGAGCATCCCTGCCACTACATTGGAACAGTTCTGCACAGACTTCCCCGAGAAAGAAACGCAATCCATCGGCAAGGACAGGATTGGTGCCGTGCGTGACGCCATGGCTGCAACCCTGAAGAAGATGGCCGCTTCTGCGGTGGCCAGACACTTGACGGCCCTGGGTGTGGGTTTTCAAGATGAGTCGAAGACAGTTTTCTTGTCCCATATTCACGACGAGGCGAGCATGCGCCTCAGGAGCTACGACGCTTCCTTGCCGGGCCGCCCTGTCCGAGGCCGCTCGTCGAAACCCTCGGGGAACCGACGGCGTTACGACACAGATTTGCCCCCTCAAACGCTTGGCCCCCGCATATCTCGATGGGGCTCGGGTTTCTCGTGGTGGGCCCCCATTCTGTGCGCCCCAAGGTGCAGGGTAACTGCGTCACGGTTGTCTTCCCTGGCGCGCGTTTGGACTTGCCGACGGAGCTGCAACCGCTCGGGCGCAAGACGGGCGCGGCGTTGGCGAAGTGCATGGTGGATGTCGTCTCGGGCGTGCTCGGACTCCTGAAGGAGCAGACCGTGCTGTCTTGGTCCTGCTTTCGCTTCGTCCACCTGCTCACAGGCGACGGAACTAACGCGAACCAGAATGCCGCGAGACGGCTGCTGCGCTTCTGCCAGGAGCACGTTCGATGGGGCGACTTTCGGGTCCGGTATCGCTTGGTGGTTTTGCAGTGCGCGTCGCACGCCGCCAATTTGGTGGTCATCGTCGCGATCTGCGGCGACCTCGTCCACAACGCCGTGGAGAACAACGACATCTGCGCCAACTGCAGCAGGCTGTACAAACACCTTATCCCAGACTACGTCGAGGAGTTCCCACGTCGTTGAAGTTGCACTTGGACGAGAAGTTCAGGATGCGAGTGGAGGCGGCCCCGAGCGAGGCCACGCTAGGGGGGGGGATTGCGAGCAAGGGCATTGCAGACATATTACGGCGAGAGTGCGCTGCCAGAAGTTATCCTCGAGATTTCCAACGCGAGGTTGACAGAAAGGGTGACTGTCGTGCATGCTGCCCGCGAGGAGGCCGCGTTACGACGCCACGCGTTTCGAGTGTTGTATGCGCACGTGCTGGTCGTGGAGGACAAGCCAGTGCCGACGCGGTTCTGGCTGTTTGCCGCGTGTGTGGGCCGTCTCCTCAGCATGCGGTTGATGGACGTCCCGATTGACGTGTTCGCTTTGCGCTTGGTGTCTCCAAGTAAGGAAGGTCACAAGAGACTGAAGCGCTTTCACGACTGGTACACGAGCGAGTCGGCCGGCGAGAGTTTGCGGGTGGCGTCTCTGTGCTTGCAGCTGACTCTGCACGCAGTGAGCATCTCCTCGCAGAAAAAGAAGCCCGACTCGGCCCCCATGATTGTCAGATTGGCCCAGGGCGAGGTGCAGTCTAAAATTTTGTCGCACTTGGGTGTGCTCCTCGACAACTTGCACTTAGGCCCGCACCTCAACGTGCTCCTCGCCGTTGAGTCCTTGCTGGCTACGGAGGTCCATATCCTCCTCCGATTCGGGCAGTACGCGAAATTCCCCTACCTGTTGTGGCGCTTGAGCGTGCGTTGGCACCCACAGGGCGCCGTAAATGCTTGCGAGGAGTTTCTGGGCGCAGACGACTCCGAGCTGGATGGCGGGTTTAGCCTCCTCTTGAAGCAGGAGGCGCTCTCGAAGGGGGGTACTCCGAGGCCCTCGACTTCTAGCTCTCGGCGCCCATCCAGGAGGAGCTCGATGGCATGTTAGCGAACTTGGCAGGGACGTCGCTCGACGTGGAGCTTTCGCACCAACAGGTGAAGCGACCAGAGAAAGGCAAATTTGTCTCTGTGGCGACAGCAAGTCGGAACAACATCATCCGAAAGTATGTGCCCCGGCGGTCCGGCGCCCTGAAGGGTCACATGAAACGAGAGAAGCAGAAGAAGAAGTTGAAAGTTGTCAACTGGCGCGCTCTGGCGGCCCAGGCAAGGCCCGACCTCTTCAAGCGTCCCCGGGGGAGGCTTCGCTGGGAGAAAGGTGCATCCGATGACGACATGCGGTCGCTTGTCCAACTTGGCAACGACGAAGAGGCCAAGCATTTCGTCGATGAGAACAAGGGCCGTTTCAGGCAGGCCGCCGCTGCCATCCGCGACTCCGCCTTGGCCATCGATGGCAACCACCTGGGTGAGATCTTCCCTGTCTTGAACCGGGAGTGGCTGAGTTGGCTGGAGAAGTCCCCGCACTTCGCGGACTTGCTCAATACCGCGGGCCCCGAGAGGTCCTCAGTGAACCACCGCTTGCACGTGGGTGACGCTGCGTTTCCGGCGGCCCCTCCATGGGCTTCCCTGACGTGGGGCGGCGGGCCCGCGGACCCCGAGTGGCTGCGAAAATTGCGGCAGTGCCGCTGCGGCTGGTTCAGCTTATCCTGCGGCGAGCGCCGTCTTGGAAACCCTTTCTTCTGCGCCACCCTGCGCGGCGTCATCATGGTCGCCGCGCTCCGCGCGCCGCCCTGGGGCGAGGGCGTCAACAGGTTCACGCTGGACTGCAGCGACCCAGCTCAGCTATTCCAGCCCATTCTGGGGCCGCTGGGCCCCCTGGTCGCTGGCGCGACGGGCCCCGTTGCGGTCGACCGCCTGGACATGGCGTTCGTGGAAGCACTTCCGCATCGGGCCTTTGTCTTCACCGCCACGGGGTCCGCCGAGGTCCACTTGCGGCGCCGCGCAGCCAGGGCGAGCGCGCGTGGCGACGCAGACGGGGGCAGCGAGTCCGAGTGCGAGTCGGAAGCGGACGACGTAAGACGACGTTCAGTCCGTGGTTTCCGAGCGAGAGGCCGAGGGTGAGCACGAGGATGAGGAAGTCCACAACATGGCCGTCGACGGCGAGGGCGCCCAGGAGGATCCCGCGGCGATTGAGAGAGCCCCGGCTGGCACGCACGTTGATCCTCTGGGTTCGGACGGTTACTTCACGCGGATCAACAATCCAGGTTGGCAAAACCTCAAGATGTTGATCAAGCCACGGTGGTGCAAGGATTTCCCTGATGGAATGGGCACGGATCAGCGTTTCTCCAGAACTCTTTACCCGCGCGATTTTGGAGAGACGAAGGCCCATCCAGTGATCACCAAGCTGGCTTTATGCAGTTGGAAATTGTGGAGGTCGACGAACGCCGGCTTTCATCAGTCTTCCGCCGCTCGCATGTCTTGGTATGCGGTCCAGCTCCATCAGCTGGGGGACCGGTTGCGGGCGCTGGGGCAGCCGGGGGGCCGAACGGGCTCCCCGGCCGCCGACGCGTGCATTTCTGGCTGGACGCCCGACGTGTTCGCAGCCTCGCACCAGAACCCCACGCGGCAGACGAGCACGGCAGACCGGCACGGCACGCCACCACGGCACACCTGAACGGCAGGCCAGCACGGCAGACCAGCACGGCAGACTGGCACGGCAGACCAAAGGAACATAACAGACCAACCAGGGCTTCCCACGGCCACCGAGGGGGAGGGAGGGCCAGCCCGTCGTAACGCCATCGGCTTGGAGCCGGCTGAGGGGCTGAGGCGACCCACCACTGGTCCGGAGAGGTTTTTCGCGTTCGGTAATTGGCAGCGCCCGGGGGCGGGGGGGGGTCTTCCAACGGCGGCCTAGCTTCGCAAAGGTCCGCTTGGGCGGGTGTGCCGGGCGAGCTAAGCTCGCCCGTGTGCCGGGTGGAGCTGGGCCGCCTTGGAAGGCCCCCCCCCGCTCCCACGCGCTGCCGATTGCCAGGGGTCAGGATGTCGAGAGTTCACCAAGACGGAAGACTAGCGCGGCGTAGCCGCGCGGCAGACCACAGGATCAGACCAGCACGGCAGACGAGCACGACAGACCAGCACAGCAGACCAGCACGGCGGACCACAAGAGCATAACAGACAACGGCAGCACGGAGGAGGAGGAGGAGGAGGTGGAGGGGGAGGAGGTGGAGGGGGAGCAGGCGGGGGAGGATAAGGAGGAAGGGGGGAAGGGGGAAGAGCAGGAAGAGGGAGTGGGGTCAGGAGGGGGAGGAGGAGGAGGAGGAGGAGGAGGAGGAGGAGGAGGAGGAGGAGGAGGAGGAGGAGGGACTGGAGGAGGAGGAGGAGGAGGAGGAGGAGGACACTAAACAACACTAAAGGGACACTAAACTACAAACTAGTGTCATTTATTGCCTTGTAGTGCCATTTAGTGTCGTCTAGTGTCAGTTTAGTGTCGTTTAGTGTAATTTTAGTGTCGTCTAGTGTCAGTTTAGTGTCGTTTAGTGTCAGTTTCGTGTCGTTTAGTGTCAGTTTAGTGTCGTTTAGTGACAGTTTAGTGTTGTTTAATGTCAGTTTTGTGTCAGTTTTGTGTCAGTTTAGTGTCAGTGTAGTCACCGTTTCGCATCTCTCACGGCACCCCGAGACGCCCCTGAGGGTTCAGACGGGCTACGAGCCCTTCAAGAATGGGAAGAGGGCCCCATGATGGTGCACAGTTGATGCCGCAATGCGCCCTCAAGGGTCCATGTCCCCACCGCCATGGCCGATGCTGCAATGCACCCTCCGAGCACGCACCGCGATGCTGCAATGCACACTCCTCCTCCTCCCCCCCCTCCTTGTTGAAGGCCCCGTAGCCTTCAACAAGGCCGCCTCCTCCTCCCCCCTTCCTCCGTCGACCATTTGGGCCCTAGCTCAAGGGGTGCGCTTTTTGGGCCTGGGCGCTGACGGCCGCTATGGATCGATATGTGGCCCGGTGCGTGGACGGCGAATCCGTTCCTTTGGAACTTCCGACCAGGGTTCATTCGGCCGCGGCCCTGCGGCAACGCCGCTTCGAAGTTCGAGGCCGCGAGGCACTGGCCGAAGCTGTTGCTGGGTGCCTGGACCCCGACCTGCTCGAAGAGCTCTTGTCCAGGCTCTGCAGGCGCACCACCATCGGGAGTCTGCCCCAATCGTTCACCAAGCTCGCGCCCGCGTGGCCTTCCTGAGGGGGCTTCAGTGGGACGACAACGACGAGGATACGCACGCCACGCCCGCTCCCGCTTGCGCTCCTGCGCCTGCGCAGGACGGGTCGGCCGTTCCTGCGCCAGTACAGGACGGATCGGCAGGCGCTTGGTCGTGGGTGGCTGGATGCACGTGGCCTACGCTTCTGAAGGATGATGAGTTGAGCGGGATCCAGCAGAGGGAGGATGAGATTGGCGGGATCCGCGAGTACGCGGCCGTGATGCCATGCGAAAAAATGCTTCCTTCACCGGAGGCGTATGAGTTCACATTCGGAACGCTGGCCGGCGCGCAAGTTCACCACGACTTCGTCCTTCGCGGGTTGGACGTGTGGCGGGAGCGCGGGGACCGCTTCTTCACACAGGGAGACCAGCAGACGGTCTGGGAAGGGGACCTCCGCGAGGCCAACATCAGGCTTCGCGGCATGGGTCACCGCAGAGACGCTATCTACGAGCTCTCCCAGCCCGCTGGCGTCTTCAGGCCTTGCGACTTCATCCCCTTCCACCACTGCTTCCGGGACTGGGGCGCGGATCTCGGGCGCAACCACTTCGGGGATAATTCCCACGTGGCGTGGGGGACTGTTCGTCGAGCACGCCCCGCCCATCAAGGTGGTGTGGTCCGCTGCCGCGAGACACGTTCTCGACGCCAAGCGGCAGGGGAGGGGGCGCGCCATCTTCGCCTTCGTGGAGGATGAGGCGCATCTGTTCCGCGACGCCCTGGCGTCTCTCGGCTTCCCGGACTCTACGCCGGCCTTTAGGGGCGGGGGGGTCATCAAGCAGCTACAAGGTGCCGTACCCGCAAAAAAAAAATCGCCTTGCATCGAGGATGACCGCTGCACGCTGGCGATATGCTGGACAGCGTGCGCCGGGGCGCGTGGCTGACGGCCGCGGGCGTTCGGCATCTTTGCAAGTGGGGCGACGGCGTGGTGGACATAGCGGGTCTGCCCCAAGTCATAGTAGCAGAGACTCGCGGCTGTGCCAGAGTGGCCTTCCTGGTCGACGGCGTCGTGACGCAGCGCGCCTACCTGACTGGAGATTTTCGCCGGCCGCGGGCGCCGCTCTGATTGCGCTTGGAGACCGGAGGAGCAGCGCGGTTGCGAGACCACGCCGCCGTTACGACACGGCCCCTGCAGGGTCACGTAGGTGCCCGGTTGGGCTCATTTTCGCCGTCGTCGTCGTCGTCGTCGTCGCCGTCGGCGTCGTCGTCGTCGCCCTGGGGCTGCCAAATGTGCAACTGTCGCCGTTGCGACGCGGCCCCTGCAGGGTCCCGTAGGTGCCCGGTTGGGCTCATTTTCGCCGTCGTCGTCGTCGTCGTCGTCTCGCCGGTTACGAGACCGCGCCCCCGTTACGACACGACTTGCTCACCAGCATCGATCTGATTATTTCATGCTGCGTGAAAGGACATGATGTCGAGGGCTGTTCCGCGCTGCTCTGTTTTGCTCCTCCGTACTGCTCCCTACTGCACCCTACTACTATCCCGTGCTGCTCCTCCGCACTCCCCCCTACTGCACCCTACTGAGACGAGGAGGGGGAGGGGGAGGAGGAGGAGGAGGAGGAGGGATGGGGAGGAGGAGGAGGAGGAGGACGACGAGGGAGGAGGAGGAGGACACCAGCCCGTCGTAACGCCATCGGGTCGGAGCCTGCTGAGGGGCTGAGGCGACCCGCCACTGGTTCGGCATGGTTTTTCGCGTTCGCATTGTTTTCTTTTGTTTTCGGCGTCCGGGGGCCGCCGTCGGGCCCCGGGGCCGCCATAAACGGATCTGGTGTGACAACTCGTCGTCGTCGTGGTCGTCGTCGTCGTCGTCGCCGCCGCCGCCGCCGCCGCCGCCCACGCGACGTTATTCCAGACGCTTCGCGTTCACCGCCCGCCCAGTTCCCTTCCCGCCGGACGAGGCGAAGACTGGCGACAGTTGCACACTTGGCAGCCCCAGGGTTCCCTTCTCGCCGGACGAGGCGAAGACTGGCGACAGTTGCACATTTGGCAGCCCCAGGGCGACGACGACGACGACGACGACGACGACGACGACGACGACGACGACGACGACGACGACGGCGGCGACGACGACGACGACGACGACGACGACGGGGGGTTACGACAGATTCTGGGTATTCCCCCCGGCAAGGGGCTACGATCCTAGGCAATCCCCCGGCAAGGGGTTACGACGGATTCTGGGCATCCCCCCCGGCGATGGGTTACGACGTCGTTGTCGTCGTCGTCGTCGTCGCCGTCGTCGTCGTGGTCGTCGTCGTCGTCGTCGCCGTCGTCGTCGTCGTCGTCGTCGCCGCCGCCGCCGCCGCCGCCGTCGTCGTCGTCGTCGTCGTCGTCCGCCGCCGCCGCCGCCGCCGCCGGCGTCGTCGTCGTCGTCCTGAGAGGCATCGCCATGGCCGTCGCCGTGGCCATCATAGAAGCCACCGCCATAGCCATCATCGACGCAATCACACTCATCATCATAGCCATCATCGTCACAGCCGCGCCTGAACCGTCACACACATCATTTGCCGGCATGGCGGATGTCCACATCACGGAAGCCAAGCTGACGGAGGCCGCCGAGGCAGGCTTCAACGAAGACGAGATTGGAGTTGCGAGGTTGGCCTTGAGGAGGTTCGCCAAGAAGGGGGGCCCAGATGCCATTCAGGAAAACATCACGCATTGCGCCATCCGGCGCGTCAAGCAAGGCGGGGGCCCGAATAAGGACGTCCGCCCCCGCGCCGAGACAATCCTTGAATGGAAGAGCACCATCTACCAGTCCGTTGAGGTGAGCACCGAATATTTCATCGTGCCGAAGAAGAATGCGCATTTGTGGTGTGGGAGCCCTCAGGCAGTGGAGTGTCTCGTTCCGCCAGAAGACTTCGAGGAATTGCCGGACAGCGTGGGCCCGACCACGCGCGACATTTTCGACGATTGGGCCCCCCGGAACGACCTGGGGCCTGGCGTCCGGAGGATGAAGGCCGCGGAGGGTGCCACGCGGAAGAGGAAGCCGACTGTTCCTTCGCAGCCTGCCTCCGCGCTGGCGGTGCCTGATCCAGCTCAGCCCGCGGCCGCTCCAGCGCGCCCGCAGGCCGCCCCCCGCTGCGACGGCGGCGGCGACGCGGCCAGCGGCGCCCACCCTTCCCCCTGCGCGAGTTCGAAGCGGGCGAATGAGACGCCTGACGAGTGGGCGGCAAAGACACGCAAGCTTTTTCGGAGGCCGAGTGACGCCCACAGGAAATTGCAGGACGCCATGGAGGGCATCGCCAAGGACATCGACGAGGCGTTCACTTGGGGCAACTTCTCGCAGCCCGACCCCATGGCACCTTCGGCAGAGTGTTGGTGCAGGAAGTTCAAGGACAACCTCCTCGCCCAGTGGGCGGAGTGGAAGGCGGCCCATCCAGGCGGCGACGCGGCCTCCACGCAGAAGGAGTTCCACGCCGCCGCCGATCCTTTCACTCAGGGCCTCCTCGGTTTCATTGTTCAGAACCTCGTTGCCAGGCCCGCGCGCGAGCACCCCCCTCGCTTCGCCGCGACCCTCAAGGCCATCAAGGCAGAGTTGCCGTGTTTTGTGGACGCCCTGGGTGACGCGGTGCTGCAACTCGGTGATCTTCGTCTGGACACGGCAGAGGAGGTGGACACCTCGAGGCTGACATTGGAAGACATTGCTGCGCGGCAGACGTCCGCATTGGTCAAGCAGGTCGTCCGCGAGCGCTGGCTCGCGAAGCTCGACCGCGTCAAGACGACCGCCTGCGCCTCGATCTCCGACAAACTGAAGGACATCGACGTGTTGCGCAAGTCCCAGGCCAGAGTGGCCCCCCCCCCAGGGGCCCCCAAACGCCCGCCCCGTGCGTTACGACACCTGCGGGGCCGCATCTGTCGTAACGCATGGCGCTTTGGCCCCCTGGCATTTCGGTTCGCTTGCTCAGGCTGACGTGCCCAAGGAACGACTGGGCAACCTGGAGGTGGCGAGGGATCTTCTGGGCCCCGCGTCGATCGGAGCGAAGATGAAATGCCTCCTCCAGGACCCGAAGCGATTCGATGCTTGGGCGGAGTGGGCACCGAAGGACCAGGCGTTGTACGGAAAGCCGTTTGCTTCCAAGGAGAACGTTTTCAAGGGCACCAGCGTGAAGGAGTTCCCCCTCGGCGCGCTGCAGATTCCCCGCGGCGGCGTGGACTGCTCCGAGGACGTGGCCCAGCCGATCGCGAAGGACATGGTCGTTGCCTTGAACAAGCATCTGACGTTCGGCGACGCGCGCGTGGACACGGGCAGTCCGGAGTACGCCATGGTGAAAGCCGTCTACTGCGAGCTCGTCTGCCTCAAGCTGGGGGCGGAGCCTGAGTCTCCGCCCATGGAGTGGGCGCCCGAGTCGGCGAAGACGGACCTGGGCAAGCGGTGCTTGAAGAACATGTCTAAGGTGTTGGGCGCGCAGATGAAGAAACTGAGCGGCGACAACGCCGGGCGCGCGAAGTCGGAGATTGAGATCTTGGAGGCAGCAGAGGCCGCCAAAGCCGAGGCAGACAAGAAGACGGCCGAGGCCGCCGAGGCAGCCAAGGCCGCCGAGGCCGAGGCAGAGCGGGCCAAGGCCGAGGCAGCAGCGGCCGAGGCCGAGGCGAAGAAGGCCGAGGATGCGGCTGCCGGCGCAGCCTTTCTCGCCGACAAGGAGGCGACCGCGGGCGGCGGCGACTCGGCAGGGGCCGAGCAACCCGAGGCGCAGGACACCGCAGGCGCGGACAAGGCCGGCAGCGGCGCGCCCCCCGCCGCCGCGGCGAAGGCCGAGGGCGGCAGCGCGCAGGCGCCAGGTCGGCAGGGCGCCGGCGCGCCCCCCCCCGCCCGCGCCCTCGCGGTCGGCGACGTGGTCCTCACGTCGAGCGGAACCCACAAGGCCGAGCACGACAATAAGAAGGCCGAGGTGATCAAGATTGGGGCTCGGCCGGTCGTCGAGTTCCTCGAGGGAGGCGCTGTTGGCGAGACCAAGGAGTTCGACAAGTCGAAGCTGACGCTGCTTGACGACGCTCCTGCTGCCAAGCCGACCCCGACGGTCCCGCCAGCAGGCGTGGGTGCTCAGGCTGCTCATGTTGCGGCAAGGGCGGAGCGGGCGAAGTCATTCTTCGGGAAGGTCGCCGCGGTTGGGGCGCCGCAGAAGCCCGGGCAGGAGTAGGCCTGAGCCGGGGCAGCGCGGGCCTGCCGGCGTCGGGCAGTGCGACGGTTTTGGACGCACAGCGAGGGGGGGGCGAGGCATCCTTCCCGGAGCCAGAGCGCTACGACGCACCCAAACAACCACACTCGTGACGACACAGCCAGATCGTTACGACACATCCAAACTACACGACCAGAGCGTTACGACACATCCAAACATCCACGCTTGGAATCCCCGGGGGGTGGCGGGGTCGTTTCAGACCATCTTGGGGCCATCTTGGACTTTTAGCTTCGGGGTTTTCTGAAGTTCGCCTCGGGGGCTATCTTAAATTCGTTCTGAGGCCATATATTTGAGCAATATTGGGCAATTTTGGGGTTATCTTAAATTCGCGTTGGGTTTATCTTACACTCGCTCGAGACTGATGAAATGCGACCCCTCTCTGCTGCTGGCGAGCCCTGCCGACGCGAGAGCGTTGCGACAGATGCGCAATTTTGTCGCTTGCAAGCGTCGCAGCGCATGGCGATGAATGGTTTCAGCGCCTTCGGCAAAATGTAAGGCCGCAGATTATCGCCTCCTGTCCCCCCCCCGCTATTTCTGTCATCATGTTCCCGTCCTTCCTCCTTCATTAATCCGCTTTGTCACTCCTGCTTTCCCCTTTGCCTGTTGCCTCTCCTCCCCGCTCCCCCCCTCGCCCTCCTCTACGACTCCTTCCTCCCTCTCAGGCGGCCTGAGTGGATTGAGTGGAAAAGGAGGAGGGGGAGGAGGAGGAGGAGGAGGAGGAGGAGGAGGGGGAGGAGGAGGAGGGGGAGGAGGAGGAGGAGGAAGAGGAGGAGGAGGAGGTGGAGGAGGAGGAGGAGGAGGGGGAGGGGGAGGAGGACACGGAGGAGGAGGATGTGGAGGGGGAGGAGGAGGCAGGAAAAGAAGAAACGCCGAAGCATGCGGACCATTTTATACTTAAGTCTGCCAGCCCCAGCGGTGGCTCCAGCAGAATCCGGGGTAAATCGCTGTGCAGGTTCAAGGCCGATCGCGCTACAGCTTTCTGCAGTGCGACTCCCAGCACACCCCGCCAGCGACCTGGAGGGCCGTAGCGTACCCGAGGCGCCGCGGGCGTCGCGTCGGTCGCGAGGCAGCGCCAGGGAAAGACAGCGAACATGGGCGCCCGAGGTTCCCATTATAGAATACCTGACTTCTGGGGGACGTCTTGGAGGGCTCTTGGGCCGTCTTGGAGGCCGTCTTAAGCCATCTTGAGCCGTCGTGGGTTCATCTTCGGGCCATCTTAGCCGTCTTGACAACCACCTTGGGCGTGTGTGAGGCATTTTGGAGGCCATCTTGGCAGTTTTGGAGGCTATATTGTGCGTCTTGGGGGCCTCTTGGGCCGTCGTGGGTCCTTCTTGGAGCCCTCTTGGGGGCCTTTTGGGCCGTCATGGGGCCATCTTGGAGGCCTCTTGGGCGCTCTTGGGTCGATGTTGGGGGCCGCTTTGGCCGTATTGTGCCGTCGGAGAGCTGAAAAAAAAGGAACAGAAGCCAACATCCTTCAAAAACCTGGGGACAATCAGTGATTTTTCCTGTGGGCCCTTCCTGGAGGACGTCTTGGAGGGCTCTTGGGCCGTCGTGGAGGCCTCTCGCAGGCCTCTTGGGCAATCTTAGACCGTCTTGGGTGCATCTTGGGGCCATCTTGGCCGTCTTGGAGGCCATTTTGACCGTCTTGGAGGCATCTCGGAGGCCATCTTGGCAGTCTTGGAGGCCATATGGGGCTTCTCGGGCCTCTTGGGCCGTTTTGGGGCCTTCTTGGGGCCATCTTGGGGGCCTCTTGGGCCGTCCTGGGGCCGTGTTGGATGCCTCTTGGGCACTCTTGGGGCGATCTGAGGGACCTCTTGGACCGTCTTGGGCCGTTGGAGAGCTGAAAAGAAGAAAATGCGAACGTCTGTCAAAAACCAACGGATAATCAATGATTTTGACCCTTGGGAACCTTCCGGGAGGAGCTCTTGGAGACCTCTTGGGCAGTCCAAGGCCATTTTAGAGTCATCTTGGGCCGTCTTGGAGGCTTCCTGGACGAACTTGAAGGCATCTTGGTCTCTCTTGGGCCGTCTTGGAGGACAACTTGGACCATCTTGGAGGCCATCTTGGGCCAACCTGGCCGTCTTAGAGGCCATCTTGAAGCGTCTTGGATTTTTTTGGTGGACGTTGGGGTGGTTTGCGGTGGTTTCCGGACCTTTCGGGTGGCCGGCGGGGCGGGCCGAAGCCCCAGTGGGAGTTCTCTCGGGGAAAGGACCAAAATTAAAAGCGAAAGGATCCAGCACGCCGGGCACCCCTGTGGCAAGCCAACAGGGGGCGGCGGATCTAGTGGCCTTCGGCCGGCCCATCCTGCCACCATGCCTGGGTTGCGGTTCAGAGGCCTCTCGGATGTTCGTTAGGACCTCGTGAGAAGACTCTCGGGGCCTGCCCGGGGCAGTCTGGAGGAAGTCCCGTATTTGATCGTCGCGCGCATGGGAGTCGGTGGGTGTTTCGTGCTCCACCCTGGCTCAGGGCTGGACCTGAGCGCTGTTGCGCTGGACTTCGGCGGCGCTTTGTTTTTGGGCTTTGGCAATGGAGGCACAGGAAAACGGGCAGAGCAAACCGAACAACAAAACGAAGCTAAGTAATGCCCTTCTTCCTCACGAGCCTAGTCACGCGGCCTCTATCTCGGGAGGGCGATATGCCCAACAGACAGGAAACTTAGAGGACTCAGCGTGAACTGTGATTTTTCGTGCGAAAAAATATTTCTTATTTTTTTACCCCCCCCCCAAAAAAAACGAACAGCAACGTGTAGGTCCGGCCCCGCCCTGGTCTCCTCCGCCGCGCGGGGCGCCCGCGCCGGCGGCGGCAGGGGCGCCGAGGGCCCCGCTGCCCGAGGGACACCGATCGGGCTCGCGGGAGATCACGCCGGGGGCGCTCGAGTTCCCCGAAGCTCGAGCTCCCCGAAGCTCCTCGAGCCCCGAGGTTCGAGCCCCGAGGCGCGAGCCTCGACGCCCGAGCCTCGAGCCTCGTTGCCTCGATGTCCCCTCGAGCCTCGAGGCCTCGGGCCTCCCGGGAGGAGGCCCCGACGACCTCCGGCGCGCCGGCGCGGCGCCCCCCTCCGCCCGCCGGGGGGTGCGCAGGCCGTGCTCGGCATCCTGGGATGCTGGTGCGCCGCTGCCCCCCCACCCAACACACACACAAAGACACACACACACACATAGATACGCACACACAACACACAACACACAACACACAGCATACACAACACACAACAGACAACACACGCACTCTCAACACGCGTACACACACAACACACGCACAAACCACACACCACACACAATACACACCACACACAGCACACAATACACAACACACAACGCAGATACAACCCACAGCACAGAACACACACAAACACAACACACAACATGCACACACTTGCGCACGCGCATGCGCACGCACACGCACACGCTCACGCACACACAACACACAACACACAACACAGAACACAGAACACACACACACACACACACACACACACACACACAACACACACACACGCACACACATCTGGCCTGCCCTCCCCGTCAGACCTCCGAAGCGGCTTTCCTGTTCACAGTTTGGACCCCCAGACGTTTCGGAGGTCTTCGTTCGAGCAGGGGATCGACTGCAGAATGGATTTGCCCCCAAATTGATGTTCGCGTCAAGGCCACGAAACATGCGTAGGCGATTCGTAGTTCTACGGACATGCTACGCATTCTTGATCATGGACTCGACGAGAAAATTGTTTTTGGGGTACGGCAATTCTGTACTCGATCCCCTACTCCCAGACATGCGACGTCCTGATTTTTTCAGGACGGCGTCCCCGGAAGTCCAGACCCTTTCCCCGGGGCCGGTATTTCAGCCTGATTCATTTTTTGACGGTGCCGGGGCCCGGCGAGGGCCTCTAGGGGTCGAAGATAACGCAAAGCTTGCCGTCCTGAGTTTTTGACGACGCCATCAAGTCTGGGCTCGATGCCTGGGTTCGGGGGGATTCGGAGCTGTCCGTTCGGCACTCGGAGGCTTCTTCGCGCCCCGGGAGGAGCTGCGCGGCGGCGGCGGCCCGCCGAGGGAGCCTTCAGGGGGGGGGGGGGGGGGGCACGTCCGGCCGCCGGAGACCCGGGTGAGGACCCGAGAGCCGGACCTCCTCGCAGTAGGTGTGAGTCGGGCTTGCCCCCCCTACAGGTCGGGGGAGCGTAAGACCCGGGTTTGCCGGGACTCGGGTTCGCCATCGTTTTTTGACGACCGCGACTCGGATTTTGACGAGGAGGAGTTTCGTGGGATGTCTGCAGCGGGAGGCCTCGTCAAAATGCAGGCTCGGCCTCGTCATTTTTTTTGACGACCTCGTCGGGGATTTTCGAGTCCCCCGTACCCGGGTCTTACGTCTCCCCGAACAGGAGGAACGTATAGCAAATAGGAGAAGATAGTTTGGGGACCATTTTTGTTGGTTGGGACTATGTCTGAGGTTGTTTTGTGGGTATTGTTTGGCTACTTGTCACGTTTTGTCCACAATCCCCCTGTAGGGGGACAGGCCCGACTTAGCACTAGGGTTGAAGTCGGGCCTGTCCCTCTGCAGGAGGAAACTGCAAGCATAGTCAACAAATTTAAAAGGCTGCCGCCTCTGCCGCCGACCCCAGACGCGGGGGTCTCGTTGGGTTCCCTCGGGTCGGTTGAGGATGTCGGGCGGGCTTCATGGGTGGGTTGTTCGGGGGCACATGTGCGCCTTTTTTTGTGGTACGTTTAGGAGCCTGTTGGGCCGTCTTCGGCGGATCCTGTGGGCTTGCGGGGTTTTCTTGGAGCGGCGGACCTTCGCAAGGGCGAGAAGTAGAAACCACCCACATACGGATTTAAGGGTGTTATCAGTGTCCCAAATGCTGGATGGCCTGGGCGGCATGGCCGAGTTTCCTGAGATTTATAGGGAGGTATCGGGGCCATTATTTTTGGAAAGCGTTGGTTTGTATGGGCCAGCATAGGCTTTCTTAGTGTACAGCTTGAGGCACCATCCCGTCACTTTAAGGGGCGTTTAGGGTTCTCTTGCAGCCCCTCCTTGTGATTTCAGGCACCATCCCTCGCGTTTTCAAATGGTAGAGTGTCTCCCACGGCAGACGGAACAAGGGGCAGGTCGGAAGGCGAAGGTTTCACTCGCCTTTGCATCTCGCCACGCGCGAGTAAGCGGAATAGAGATGACATTGCTTAGGTCGGTATCAGGGGTGCGCGACGAAAGCACTTTCGTTTCAGTGCGTTTCTCCCCGCCCAACAAACACAGGTTCCACTGGTCCCACATCTCTCGCAGGTCCCACAGGTCTCACAGGTGCACAGGTCTCGCAGGCCACACAGGTCACCCAGTCGCTCAGGTCCCCCAGGCCACCCCAGAAGAGCTTGCAGTTTTGCGATGTGTGAGCCATGGGGGGAGGGGCTATTGCAGGAGAGCAGGCTACCTTGGGCGTTTTTGAGTGATCTTTCGATGACGCGGGGCCGTCTGGGTCCTGATCACCGGGCCTCAGCGGATTTGGGAAAGGATATGACGTTCGCCCATTCCGTGCCTAGAGGCACGGTGGTGGATTTTGCTCGTTCATCTTTCTTTTGTGGAAGACACCTGGCGGCATGAACGCATGTTAGCAGCACTCAAAATCCTCCATCCCATGATCCTCCGTCTCCCTTTCTCCTCAATCTCCTTATTCGCTCCCGGGGGAGGAGGCAGGAGGAGGGAGGAATTGGGGAGGGGAAACGAAGAGGAGGAGGAGGAGGAGGAGGAGGAGGAGGAGGAAGAGGAGGAGGAGGAGGAGGGAGAGGGACGGAGGGAGGGAAGGCGTGGTGGGGGGCGCGGTGGGGAGTGTCAGTAAGTTTCGGGCGACAAATTGTCGTGTGGGGGTCCGAAGAACTGAGCACTCGGGGGGTGGTGTGGGGTTGGGCTGTGGGGGGCGCGGTGGGGGGGGTTGTCGGTAGGTATCGGGCGGAATTGGTCGTGTGCGGGTCCGAGATCCGAGCTCCGGTGGGGTGGGTGCCCCCGGCGTGGTGGGGGCGCGGGGTGGGGTTGGTAGGTTTCGGGCGAGAATTGTCGTGTGCGGGGTCCAAAGAACGGAGCTCCGTGGGGTGGGTGCGGGGCGTGTGGGGGGCGCGGTGTGTGGTGTCGGTCGGTTTCGGGCGAGAAATTGTTGAGTGCGGGGTCAGAAGAACCGAGCTCCCGTGGGGTGGGGTGCTGGGGCGTGGTGGGGTGGGTGGGTAGGTTTCGGGCGAGAAATCGTCGCATAGGGGGTCCGAAGAACTGAGTTCCTGTGGGGTGGCCAGTGCGTGGTGGGGGGCGCGGTGGGGGGTGTCGGTGGGTTTCGGGCGAGAAATTGTCGTGCGCGGGGTCCGAAGAACGGAGCTCCCGTGGGGTGTGGTGCCGGGGCGTTGTGGATGGCGCGGTGGAAGGTGTCGGTCAGTTTCGGGCGAGAAATTGTCGTGTGCGGGGTCCGAAGATCCGAGCTCCCGTGGGGTGGTGTATCGGGGCGTGGTGGGGG